TATATTTAAGCAATTTGATCCTTCTCCTTCTGCCAAATTCCGACGTATTGCTGAGCAAATGGACGAGGTCTCACGATCGGTTCCTTCTGCTGAACAACTCTCCGCAGGACACTTTCAAGTACCCTTTGTGAAGAAAATCAACTGGGCTTCTCTAAGGGAAATGTGCAAGCAATGGATAAGAAATCCAATGAACATGGCTCTATTTGTGTGGATTCTTTGTGTAACAATCTCTGGTGCTATTCTGTTCCTTGTCATGACCGGGATGTTAAATGGTGTGATACCGAAATCACAAAGGGACACTTGGTTTGAAGTTAACAACCAAATCCTAAATGCCCTTTTCACTCTCATGTGCCTTTATCAACATCCAAAGAGAATCTACTATCTTGTTCTTTTATGCCGTTGGAGAACAAATGATGTCTTAAGGCTTAGAAAAGTATTTTGCAAAAATGGCACATATAAACCCAATGAATGGGTTCACATGATGGTTGTAGTTCTCCTTCTCAATCTAAATTGCCTTGCACAATATGCACTATGTGGTCTAAATTTGGGATATTCGAGGTCCAGAAGGCCTGCTATTGGAGTTGGTCTTTGTATCTCTGTTGCAATTGGTGCACCGGCTATTGCTAGCGTGTACAATATCCTAAGCCCCCTTGGAAAAGAATACGAAAACGAAATAGATCAAGAGGCACAGGTTCAAGTTACACCAACGAAACTCCGACTGAAATCACTTGAAAAGAAGTATTCTTTCATTGTAAGAGATGATCAAAGGGTTGAAGAGACTAGACCACAATGGATTGGGGGATTATTTGATTTATGGGATGATATTTCTACAGCCTATCTTTCTTTCTTTTGCAGTTGCTGTGTATTTGGATGGAACATGCACAGACTAGGGTTTGGTAATATGTATGTGCACATTGTGACATTTATCCTATTTTGTTCGGCCCCTTTCTTTATTTTCAACTTGGCAGCAGTTAATATTGACAACGAGGGCGTTAGAGAGGCATTAGGGATCGCAGGTATTTTCCTTTGTGTTTTTGGTTTGTTGTATGGTGGGTTTTGGAGGATTCAGATGAGAAAGAGGTTTAATTTACCGGGAAATACCTTTTGTTGTGGAAACCCCTCGGTTACTGATTGCTTTCAGTGGTTATGTTGTTGCTCTTGTTCTCTTGCTCAAGAGGTGAGAACTGGGGACTATTATGAAATTGTGGAGGATAAGTTGTATGCGAAAGGTATGGGTGATGATAATCAACTTGTACTGTCCCCTTTGCCTCATGAGGATGGCTTGGCTTTGTTTACCTCGAGCCCCAGTTCTCCTTATATTGTCAAATCTAGTTCGTCGACTCCTAAAAGATCTCCAGGTGGGCATTCTCCACAAGCGAATTTGCCTACTGTTAAGGAGGAGTCATCGGTGAAAAGTGAAGGCAGCACAATGAAACCTCCTGTTCCTGTTATAATACAAAGAGAAGATTAGTTCGGGTGTAATATAGCCAAACTTGCTACTTTTCCTTTTATCTTTATGTGGATTTTGTAGTTATGTTTGTTACAGTGAGTATAATTTTTTTTAAATGGCTGAATGTAGTTGTGATGAGAATGTTATTTGTAATCTTCATTACATCATTGCATATGATTTGAGCCTTACCTTCATTGTGATGCTGGGATATTTTTAGTTGGACTTTTATCTCAAGTCTTGATAAGAATATTATCTGTAATCTTCATTACAGCATTTCATATGATTTGAGTCCTTGTATATATCCAGATGAACATTCATTGTGATGCATATTTTTAGTTGAACTTTTGACTCAAGTTTTGATGAGCATTGCGTATTTTCAGTTGAACTTTTCATTCATTTACTCGTTGTAAAAGGATCTATGCTTCTATGCTATTATGTACAGGTTTGCTTCTCTGGTATGAACTTTTATAAACATCTGCTCAACTGTCTTTGTTGGTTAATCAGAATCTAGACCTTCCTAATCTCTGGAACCATTCAAGTTGTGAATATCAGAATTTAACCCATCTAGTTTATATTAGGGGCTTTTTTTTTCCTCAATTTTAGTACCCCATTTTCACATTTTGAAATTAACTCCCCAAATCTTTAGGTTTTGAATTAAGTACCCCGAATCCTTAAAGTGTTTTGAAATTGGTACCCCAAATCTTCATATTTGATATTAGTTTCCAAATCTTTTGAGTGTTTTGATATTAGACCCTCAAATTAGGGGCTTATTTCAAAACCTTTAACAGATTTGGGGACTAATTTCAAAGTGAACCAATTCATAATACTTAAATCTGGGGTCCTACAATCGAAAAATCCCTTTATAACATTTAAACTCTGTTTTTTTTTAAGGTGGGGTGGGGTGGGGGGTTGGTTATTTTTTCGAGCTTATAAGCTATGCTAAAAGTGATTTTTGGCTTTTATGATCAAAATGCTACAAAAATTATTTTGGTAGAATTAATTTTTTTTGGTCGATCCTACGGTAGCTTATAAGTTTGTTTTTTAAAAGCTAAGACATACCATCTTTTTAAAAATGAGGCTTATAAGTCAACTTATTTGTTGTGATGTGAAAAAGCTAACTTAAAAATTAGTTTGACGAAAAAAATAATTTTCAATTTCAACTATTGCACTAAGTCTTTCATTTCAATTCAGAAAGTTCTCTTGACTTATATAAAGTTTAGAAGTGTTTCATGCAAAACATCCAAAAGTTTACGGGGATTTCTCAAATTTATACATTTGTGTATCAAATCTCCCTCCATTTCTCTAGTTTGCAGTTTTCATATTAATCAAGCTTCAACCTCTCCTCCCCATGAATCCTCTCCAATGTCAACATCCACCACCAAAATCCTCACCCACCTCCAAACCCACCTCCACAACCCCTCCCTCTCCCTCCCCCACCTCTCCCAACTCCAATCCCATCTCCTCCGCCTCAACCTCCTCCACCACCCCCACCACCTCACTCTCTGCAACAACGCTCTCCGCTCCCTCATCTCCCTCAGCCAACTCCACCCATTGCTCCAACTCTACTCCCAAATGCACAGCCTCAACCTCTCCCCAAACAACTTCACCTTCCCTTTCGTCCTCAAGGCCTGCGCACGTCTTCGTGATGTAAAACTTGGTACTTTGATTCATACCCATGTTTTGAAATCTGGGTTTGAGTTGAATATCTTCGTGAAGACCAGCTTGGTGTGTTTTTATGCGAAATGTGAGGTTTTGGGTGATGCCCGGAAACTGTTTGATGAAATGTGTGAGAGGAATGTTGTTGTTTGGACTGGGATGATTAGTGGGTATTTGGAGACTGGGAGATATCAAGAGGGAGTTAGTCTGTTTAGGAGGATGTTGGAAGCGGGAATGATGCCCGATAGTTTTACGATTGTTAGGGTTCTAACTGCGTGTTCGCAGAACGGGGATTTGAGGACGGGAGAGTGGATTCGTGGGTTTGTGATGGAGAAGGGGATGGACAATAATATGTTTGTTGAAACGGCGTTGGTGGACTTGTATGTGAAGTGTGGGTGTATGGATGGAGCGAGAGGGGTTTTTGACGGAATGAAGGAAAAGGATGTCGTCACTTGGAGTGCGATGATTGGTGGATATGCATTTAATGGGCTTCCTCAAGAGGCATTGGAGCTTTTCTTTCAGATGGAGAGGGAAAATTTGATGCCTGATTGTTTTACTATGGTTGGAGTTTTATCCGCTTGTGCTAGATTAGGCGCTTTAGAGTTGGGCGACAGAGTAAGTAGATTGATGGATATGGGGGAATTTCTATCAAACCCAGTGTTGGGAACTGCCTTGATTGATATGTATTCGAAATGTGGAAGCGCTGAGAGAGCTTGGGCTGTCTTTAAAGGGATGAAGGAGAGTGATGTCATTGTTTGGAATGCGATGATTAATGGGCTCGTGATGACTGGATATCATAAGGTTTCTTTTGGGCTTTTTGCTCAGATGGAGAAGTTGGGAGTCAAACCCGAGGGAAATACTTTTGTTGGCCTCCTTTGTGGATGTACTCATGCTGGCTTAGTTGAAGATGGGAGAAGATATTTTAAGAGCATGTGTCGTATCTATGGCTTAAATCCTCGAATTGAGCACTATGGTTGCATGATTGATCTTCTGGCTCGAGCTGGATTATTGGAGGAGGCTCATCAGTTGATCAAAGAGATGCCAATGGAAGCTAATGCTGTAGTCTGGGGATCTCTGCTGGGGGGTTGCAAATTGCATCGAGATGTTCATTTAGCTGAGCATGTCTTGGAGAGACTTATCGAGTTGGAGCCCTGGAACTCTGGGAATTATGTTCAGTTGTCAAATATTTATGCTGGAAATGGGAAGTGGGACGAATCTGCAAGAATCAGACTAGTCATGAAGGAGAAAGGGATTGAGAAGACACCTGGCTCTAGTTGGATTGAACTCAAGGGTGTTGTTCATGAGTTCCGCGTGGGGGATAAATCACATCCTTTGAGTGAACGAATTTATTCGAAGCTTGATGAATTAGGAAAAGAATTGAAGGCAATGGGTCACATGCCAACGACAAGGGAGGTTTTATTTGACATAGAAGAGGAAGAGAAGGAACACTCTCTCGGGCACCACAGTGAGAAATTGGCAATCACATTTGGTCTCATTAGTACAGACTCAAATGAAACAATTCGGGTGGTGAAGAACCTTAGGGTTTGTAATGATTGCCATGCAGCAATAAAGCTCATTTCTCTTTTTACCCATCGGGAGATAATTGTCAGGGATAACAATCGGTTCCATTGTTTCAGAGAGGGCTCATGTTCGTGTAATGATTATTGGTGAATTAACTGTAAGTTATAGGAAATAACATTCATAAAATTTACTGATTTTCTTTTTTAATGATTGATGATTGTCAATTTGATGAACTCATTGGCTATCATGCTGTAATTATGATCATTTCCATCAATATTCTGTTGTTTATATAAGGGTTATTGTCATATTAGGCCCTCCTAATGTTTGTCATTTCTATGCTAGAGCCTTAGATCTTCATATTTCTAGTTTAGACCCCCACATCTTCATATTTGTTAGAAATGAGGGTCTTAATCAAGACAACTGGATAGATTTTTGGGGTGTAAATTAAAATACAGGGTTTGTTATTTGAAACAAATTCATGGGTTTGGGCGTCTGATTTTGTAATATGAAGCTTTAGGGTCTAATATGGCAAAACATTCTTTATCTAAAATAGAATCAGTGTTGCATGTAAAGAAGAAAATGGAAGTCACTTTCGGTGATGAAATTTTGAACGGTTGCAAAGCTGTGACATAAAAGCATGGCATAAAGAGAACCCCTTTATGGGAGAACTAAACACCATGGTTTTGCCTTTACAGTTATATTGATAAGCACCTCAAATGTTCTCCACCAACTCTGTCTTTATCTAGGCATAAATGCCTCAGTTTACTTAGATACGCCAATAAAAAACTTCAGAAATCTATATATGTCTCTAAATAAAAGATTTTAAAAAAATAGTGGCCTTCAATGTGAACCTGCTGACTTTTGTGCAGCTGAAAGGTGAAGAAAGCATTCTCTCTCTCTTCTATATATATGTGGAAGCCACAAAGAGGTCAGAGTTTATATACCACTTCTTATTCCAGCGTTTGCTTCTTTACATTAGACCTTCAATGGCTGTAAGTATCTCTTCTTCCTTCGTTCATTCTCCTATTAAGCACATGTAGCAGATTTCACAGTATAAAGCCTAGTGTTTTGAATTTCCGCTTGTTACGGATTTCTAGTTTGATTGCATTCTACTTGAAAAAGGATGATAGAATTATTAGAACTACGTAGAAGATCCCTTTTTCTGTAGTACACTTTCAGCACAGTGTAGACATAAAAATTTTGTAACCTTCTTCATATTCGATTCTCTTGTTTTCATTGCAGTTGGTAGAATTAAAGGTTGGCGTGCACTGCGATAAGTGCCTGAAGGCAATCAAGAAGGCCATCAAGAAGATTGAGGGTACATCTCTCATATACACTTAAATAGATTGTGCATTAAATATGTAGTAGAAAATTTTATACGCTTGATGAGGTCTCGGATTTATTTGCTATTTAATTGGAATATTTGCTTATGTTTACAGTATGCACCTTGCTGTAGTCTCCGCTGTTGAAGGATCTACTTCTGCAACAATTTTAAATCCCATACTACAGTGCATCAATCTAAAACACTATAAGTTCTCATATAAAGCCAAAATAGCCTTAATAAAATATAATTGGCCATGCACACAATTCCGAGGAAGATTAGGTGTTGCTTAGTTAGTTTAAAATAGGTGGAAATAAATTTTCATTTATTCAGAACAGTATCTGGACTGTATATTCCATCTTTTTTAGGACCCTCATAATTCATTAGAAGAGAAATACAAGGGGCTACAATTCAGATACAAGGAGATGGAGCTTTCCCGAAATGAAAGAGAAAGAAAATGAGTATAAATTTAGACTAAGACAATAAAATATCTGCTAGGGAGAGAAAAAGCTGGGTTTAACATTACACTATGCATTATCAAGTGCTTCAGCTACATTTAATTTGATCTTTGATTCACATTCTTAATAGACCTTATTATTTTTTTCAATGCAGATATTGAGACATATCGGGTTGATACAGAGATTAGCAAGGTCACAGTAACAGGCAATGTTACAACCGAAGAGGTTGTTAAAGTCCTGCAGAAAATTGGAAAGACTGCAACCCCTTGGGAGGAATGTCAAGTTTCTGCAAGGGATGCATGAGAGAGAGTTTTTTTTAATTGACATGACGAGATGATAACAGAGGTGATTTTTTTTAATTAAAGTTTTCATGCTTGAGGATCCATTCTTGTTGGTTAATTGGTAAAAGGTTAGAAAGAGAGATGTTGAAAGTAGTACATTGTTTAAGAAATGACACTCTATACATATGTATTGCATTATGTATCATTTTATATATTGATAATGAAAAGTACTATTGTATGTTTCAAATTGTTTATATTTGAAAAGGGATTTTTAAAAAAATGATGTAGGGCTCGAGGTAATGAGAAGAACGTACATGATTAAGAAACTTAGAATAACAAGGTTTTTGACAGAGCTTTCATTCTTCATTGTTTAAATTCATTGTTGCATGAAGATACATGATCAAGAAATGCACCCTGCTTCCCAAATTCGGGGATACGACTCGAATTACGTTCATCAAATACCAACTCACGGGAATTCTAAAGAAATCAGGTATGAACAATAATTCTCATAAATGATAAATCTCTAAAGGTTAATAATTTTCTTTAACAACATCCATTGAGTCCAAATGTCCAATAGCAGGATTACAGATTTATTATGATGTCAATTAACTCTCAAATTACATGATGAACTTCATTCCTCGAATTATTACATGACAGCGGCGAACAAATAATGAAATCGGATTTTATGAAACAAAAACTATTGATACAATGAACACAATTGTATAGTAGTTATATATAGGTTTGAGTGGAGAGTTTATATCCTGATATTAGAGCAGACAATGCAATGGATAAAAATGCAAAGAAAGCCATGCTAATGGAAGCTGATGCTGAGTCTGTGAAGGGGGTATCTATAATATCCCTCTTGCTATCTGTAATTGGTATTGCTGCTGATAATGCTGATATCAGTAGGTATGCAGTGACCTAAAACATTGAAGAAAATGTTAAAATATAGTATAGCGATATCATAACTAGCTTTTTTCCCCCTTACAGTTTATATTTCTTTTGCAATTTAGTCATTTGATTGCACTTTATTTTCACTTGAAATGTCAGACTTAGTTGACGGAACCTTTTAGGGTTGATTGACATTTAGGGGTTTTTGTATGACTTACCCAAAAAATCATATTATTTCTTAGCCCATATTGAATTTCCGATGCAAACAGCAAATAATGCATTATATTTGACGGAAACTAGGCTTCTTCAAACCATCAGACTAATTAAACCACATCATACTTCAAATAACAGGTTTACTGAAAATTTAATGAACAAATATAGTTTGGGCTAATTGCATATTGGCCCCTTAAATCGTCTTTAATTGCCCAATAATCCCTCAAATCTCATCATTTGCTTATTAGCCCCTTAAATCTCCGGTATTCTTGCCAATCCGTTCCTCGTGTTAGGTTGTGTTATTAATGACCGTTAAATGTGACGGAATTAGGTAAAATATCCATTATACCCCCACCTATACCAACTTAAACGCACCTTCTTTCTTCACCAGTGTTCCCATGCTCCCCCCAAACCCAAAATCAAGGTAATTCCCATCGCTAGCTTCCCTCTAAACCCAAAACTTGCGAGAACAATGTGTACCCCAGGGACAATAATGTAACTTGAGTTGTTAGGTTAAGCATTAACTCAACTAGAGTTAGAGAAGTTAAACATATTTTCTAACAGAAGGACCATATTGCAAGAAAACTGAAGATTTAAGGGACTAACAAACAAATAATGAGATTTGAGGGACAATTTGGCAATTACAAATGATTTAAGGGACTAATAGGCAATTAACCCATATAGTTTACCTGATCACCGACAAAGTCCAGTATGCCCATAGCTCGGTTTGGTATCAGGTAGTTATCTGTACTCAACCTGTACACTTGATACGCAACCTGAACCATAGTATACACAAACGCCAATATAGCTATGGCCAAGCAATACCTACAACAAATGATCACCAATTCTAAGTCAGTTCCCTATAAAATTCAATCCAAGAAAATCCATTGTAATAATCACTGAATATAGTTTTTTTTCCCCTTGTGATATCTATTTGTGTATATAAACAAGGGATTAGCCTGTTTTAATTTTTACCAATCAGCCGATAGAACTTCTTGTGAATTTGTTAGCATGATATCAAAACCAAAGTCTTAATCACTAGAAAATTCCTCCACTTGCCCTTTCTGAACTCCAAATCTCCGGTCCAGGAGATGTTAACATAGTTTTCTTCTATAGTTAGTCTACAATATGTGTGTACATATATAGGACATATCGTCATGTTTAATTTTGTCAAGGATTAATTACATACGTGTGCTCTGAGCTATGATGTAATTATAGAGGTGACCCTAGATTCTGTGTATCTGCATGGATGACTTGAGATTACTGATTTTAATGGCATGAACGACCTTGAAGTCGGTTTTTTTTTTTTTTTTTTTTTTTTTTTTTTTTTTTTTTTTTTGTTATCAGGGTTGTGCATGTAGAGACGATCAATAATCTCAGAGTCGCCCTTTGTTGGTTTTTTTTTTTTTTTTTTTTTTTTTGTTATCAGGGTTGTGCATGTAGAGACGATCAATAATCTCAGAGTCGCCCGTATAGATTATGCAATATATAGTTCATGGTCACCCATGTAAGTAACTACATGATGCTTTCTTTAGGCTACGTGAATATCACTGATCCTTTTATCCATTAACGAATGAAAAATCTTTTCCCAATTCTTGACACTAACGCTAACAAGAAATAAATTAAACATAACTGGTACTCCTGATACTGGTCAAAATTCTGCCCGTCTCCTTGATTGTTGGCTGCCATGACAACGAAGGAGACGAGAGAAAAGAGCCAGCAAAGCCCTCTGAGTGAAAGCGTGCACTTCTCCAAGAGATTCTCCCTCTTCCATCGTCTCAGCACGGATCCTTCTGCGGTGTTCGGCGGGTTGTTCTCGGTGTCGGGTGCTTGTGTCACCGGTCGAGCATCGGTTGGAGGAGGATTTGAGGACTCCATTGCTTGTGAGAAAATTGAGGAGGAAGAAGATTTAGGGAGATGTGAGATAATTGTTAGTCTAAGGAATGTTTTTTTTTTTTTTTGTATGTTTTATGGCGGGGACTCCAACTTGGATTGTGGACAAGGTGGCCGGCGGAGGTAAACAATTGGGTAATTTGCACATTGGCCCCTTGAAGTTTTGGGGGTTTTGCGCAAAACCACCCTAGAAGCAGTTTGGTTCAATTTTAAGTGCATTACATCTGTAGTTGTAGTTGCAGGTATCTCTGGGGTACTAAGGTTTTCAGTCTTCCGATATACACTCAAATATGTATAAACTGTATACTTCTATCGAGACCTATATATAACCGCATGCGTTATTTGTCCTGATGAAACAAATAACTGTCACAAGTGATTATAATAGTTATTATTTTAGTCACTTACATTATGATGTGAAATTTATATCCGTTGGTTTCACTATTTAATTTCATGACTAAATTACATTTATCTCGGCCATCTTTTGGTTATAGGTTACACGATAGCACACATGATGTCGATGCATGCATGAGATCACAATGAGAGTAAGAGATTCGAGGAGCTGAAATAGATGAGAGGTGTACTTTTGGACGACTATAATTTGTTTTATATGCAGAATTTGTGTTTGGATACAAATCTATCTAATTGGATATGCATAGTTGGACTCATGTAGGATGCATTTTTTTTAATAGAAATGTAGGTGTAGGCGTCTAAAAATGTCTATAGGTTCTCGCACGCGGTTCGAGACAGAGAGAAAACGATGAATGTCACTATCTGAGTCACAGAAGCTTATTTAACATTAACAAGCGTATGAAGTGAGTCGACGAACCGTGTGAAGCAACGGAACTTCAGAATAACGAAAACACGAACTGATCGGAAGCTACGCGTCGCTTACGAAACACGAATCACTCCTCTTGTTCCGTCTACTCCATGTATGATTCAACCATGGAATCTTGTAGATCTTCTCGTCAGCTTTCCAACGCATATTGAATCGCGCGATTCCGAGTTCGGACGACGAAAATACGACGAAAACGGACGGGACGCACGAAACAAAGCCCAGAGCCAAACCTAAGACACCGCAAGTGTCTTGGCCGAGGCCTAGACACCCAAGGTGTCTCGGCTTGGCCGAGACACCGCGGGTGTCTTAGACCCTGAAAATCTATTTTGTTGTTTTTTGACCTGTTTTTCGATCGTTAACCACTTGGATTTGTTTCAACTGATCTAATGTCATCCAAGAACGTGATAAAGTGGTTACAACTGAGGATAAGAGCAAATCATTCGTTCTTATCCGAAAACATGGCTCCTGAAACCTATAAATACAGCCCTAGGGCCTTCATTTGCACAGATCTGAAATTCTCGAGCGTTGGCGAAGCCTTGCTGAATTGAAGACTGAAGGATCACGAATTTCAGAAGAGAGGAGGAGATCAGATCGAGTTCTTCAGCATAAAAAAGAAGAGTTCGTCGGATCTACAGTTCCCGGTTCTTTTCCTTGAAATTGCCCCGTTGCGGTGATCTCGAGAAGAGTGGTTATCTCGCTGTTGCCGAGATAATTGCTTCGGTTTCTTGATTCCTTCGCGAATCAACGAAGCTCTGGATCGATCTGATCGTTTGGTGGTCCACGGATATCAACATCCCCGTCACAGGCTAAGATCTCACGTAAGCAGCGGAGAATAAGAGTCTGTTGCGTTTGTTCAAAAGAAAGTTGTAATTTTTGTTGAAAGTCTTATAAAAAGACTATTTTTTTGAGTTTGTTGTAAACGTTTGAAGTTGTAAATGAACTCATCAATGAAATCGACTTTCTCCCCAAACAGTAGGATACATAGTTGAATCGGTGTATTATAATGTATTCGATGCTTGTTTTGCTTGGATATTGTTTTTGAAGGTTTTTGTTATTTGTTGTCTTTATATAGCTAGGATTATGTATGTTTATGTAAGCATTTGCTATTTTAAACATGTTGTAAAGGCCAAAATTTCCAAAAACCGAAAAATACTATTAAAATAATAAGTGAAAATAGGGTAGAGATCTTTTACATACTTGGTTGTAGAGAATCTTTACAATTCACGAATCACATTTCCTCATTCAGTGGACACCATGAATGATATGTTTTACATAAATTAGAAAAATATATAGATTAAAAAACTTTTAATTGTGGGACCATTAAATAAACCAATACAACTGATCCACACAACTGATTGTAGGAAATCTCTACAATCAAGAATGTAGAGAATATGAACCTGTGAAAACACCCCCAAGGGATTTCCATAGGGAATGCAAAATCAAGTTTTCAAAAATCCAAGGAAATTTCCTTGAGAAATCATTGAACCATAAGATATAAATCACTTATTTGGTTGAAAAGATCAAAGATTAGAATAAATTGGCTAATTTGTTTGGAAAGCATTCAATTGATTTAAAAGAAAGTGAAATTTTTATACATCAGGGTGATTATATATTTATATGTTTATATAGCATTAAAATAACTTGGATTTTTTGTCCCCTTTCTCTATTACACGCTTTCCCTTTATCAAAAACTATTTATTTCTTTATTTTCTCTTTTTTTTAACCTAGTATGATCTATAGATCTAATATAATGAAATGCATACCCATTAGCCACCTTCCTTGTCCAATTATCTCCAGAGACAAAAGTAGGGCCGTATAACACAGAACCAACAACCTCTACAGCTCACTACAGCATGGCTCAATAACTAATAATATGATGGGGATTAATAAATAAATCAAAAATTAATCATCCAATTTTATACTCAATGCAACCACTCTTAATGACATATAAGCCCACTCATACATGTGGGACCCTGTCAACAACAAAAAAATGATGCCACAGAAGATAGTTTCGGTGTCACTTATCTTCATGGTTTTTTTTAATTGGTTAATAGTCCATGAAATATATAAATAGAAATATTAAATATATTTAGATGTTTTGCGTTCACAAGTTCATTAGATTTGCTTATTTTTTAATTCCCTTCCCATGAGAAAGTGAATAGATTGAGTTGCGTGTTAATTTGAATGTGTCAGTCTTCTTGTGATTTTTTTTTAATATTTTTCTCTTTTTTGAAGTAACTCTGAACATACGTGCAAATATTCCTAAATAGTGATTAGCGTTATTAATTGCAGTTGACAAGGGGGAGTTGCAACTCGCAACAAGGTGTACGTTTACTACTATGTACTGTGTATTGTACGGAGGTAAACCTCAACTCTGGTTTCTTGGAAAAAAGATCCAATGGGAGATCTTCTACATAATTTATTTAGTACAAATTCTATTAAGGGGCCGTTTGTTTGCCTAAAAATAGAGGGAAATCAAAGAAAAGGAAACCTATTTCTAAGAAAAATAGGTTTTGGGATTGTTTGGTTGGCTAAAAAAAAGAAGAAAAACAAAGAAATGGAGATGAGATGAGATGAGTTGTCACCTTATTATAGGATGATGTGAGTGATTTTTTAAGAAAACTTGTTTTGATGTTGTTTGGTTAGCGGAAAAAATAAGGAAATGAATTATAAGAAACATATTTCTTGAAAACTTGTTTTGATGTTGTTTGGTTAGCGGAAAAAATAAGGAAATGAATTATAAGAAACATATTTCTTATAATAGGTTGTTTTTTTTTGTTTAGTTATTTCTTAAAAATAAAAAAATAGATGAGATAAGATGAGTTGTCATTATATTATTGGATAATGTAACCCACACTTAAGGAAACTGTTTTCCTAGCTTTTAGGGAGGAAAACAAAAAAATGAAATGTTAATGAGATGAGATGAGTTGTCACAATCTTATTCGATGATGTGAGTGATTTTTAAATATGAGATGAAATGAGTTGAGTGATGTTGTGGATGGAAATAATATTTTATTAGATGTGGTGGATGTGTTGAGTGATGTTGTGGATGGAAATAATATTTTATTAGATGTGGTGGATGTGATGGATGAGTTGTTGGATGAAAATAATATTTTATTAGATGTGGTGGATGAGTTGTTGGATAAAAATAATATTTTATTAGATGTTGTGGGTGAGTTTTAGGGATGGAAATATGTAAAATTGTACTTTTTGAGATTTCTTGGTTTTTATTTCTATTTTTTGGGTTTTAGGAAATAACCAAACAGGCCCTAAGAACAGTCGCAATTGGGTGATCTATAAAATTCTAGAACAGATAAAATTAGTTTATAAATTCTATCTATTCTATATTACTAGTATTTTCGGCGTGATGCGTGCATGAACAATATTCATTGTAAAATTATATGCGAACATACTGGTGAAGGATAGAAACATATATTTACAAATATAGTACTTTAAAACTTTGTAGGATACAATCTAAATCATCACAATATATATCCCCACAAACCATGCCAAAGTTCATAGAGTACATGTGATGCGTGCGCATTTGAGGTTGAATACCTCCTTTCTTATCTTTTGTGGGTGGAATGTTGGGGAAGGGAAGGGACTAATCCTTTTCCTTTTTCTTTCTTTTTTTTTAATCATTTTTTTTTAGATGAGGAAAATGGAGAAGAAAGTGGAAGGTTTGGAGTTTAGTTGACACTATCAACATGGAGTTAGTTTCTTTTTTGTATATATATTTTTTAAATTTTATCTATTTGAGGAGTTTTAACCATTTAGATAGGTATTGAGAAAATTGCTTGAATTTCTTGAAATCGTGACTTACATATAGGGATAAAACTGAAAATATGGACAAGAGTCTAGCTTTTGTTAAATAATAATAATAGATGGTTGAATCTATCTCATGCTTATAGGGGTGATTATAGTTTATGAATTTTAACTATTCTATTTATGGTGCAAACCATCTCACACCCATAAGACTGATAAGATTTTTATTCCCAATTCATGCCATATAGGAAGGAACAGAATGTGACAAACTGGCGTTTGAATGCTTATTTGAAGTTAATGATTGCATTAATAAAAAAATATAGGAAAATTTTCAAATCATAAACATTGTATGGCCCAATAGTTGTATGGTCCTTATAGTAATATAGGAAAAGCTCCATTTTAAATAAGAAATAAAAATAAGAAACCTACTTTCTCATTAATAAAATCATAATCATTAATAAAAAAATATAGGAAAATAAGAAATTTAAATCATAATCATTAATAAAAAAATATAGGAAAATAAGAAATAAAAATTGTAGGGTTCTTGCAAAATCATACTTTCTCATTTCAAATTCTCATGGAAGAAACCTACATTTTTATGTCTTATATAGTCCAATAGTTGTATGGCCCTTATAGTAATATGTTATTTTGAT